AGTATACAGTCAAAGTTGCTGGCTATAAGTTTATACTGACACTCATATACCCTGGTGTGATGCATTTTTTTCTCAGACACTTCATAGCTTTCCAAATGACAGTTGTTGAATAGTTAGGTTTATTTTAGGAGTAGAAGGAGATTAATCTCATTCATTAGTGAATTATTAGTTCAAAGAAACAGTGTTCCAGAAAAGAGATTGAGATGTGATACAAGGAAGCAGAATGGACATGTTGAGAACAGAGATAGTCAGTAAAGCAGAAATGACATTGGCAGGACAAAGAAGGTACAAGATAGGACACCAGACAGTGGGATGGAGCACTGTAAAGGGAGCGACTCAGACATGTGGGTGCATTTATGCAGGTTAGGAGTTAATCTGGGGAACATAGTCCATGACCAGGGTCCAGTTTCTTTAGATGAAGTTCATTTCTCAGAGAGGGGACCAGCTCTGAAGCCACTGATGTTGTATCTGAGAGATTAGGAGGTGTCATGGTGTGGGTAGAGAGGAAAGAACAGATTTGAGACAAAGGTAGAAAGGAGAAACCAAAGGATTTGGTTATAAAATTAAGATGAGTGCTCAAGTTCCAACTTCAAGTACACACAGAGAATTTAATTATATGTTAGCAGAAATTTCCAAAAGGAAAAGTGGCCTGCTAGAGTGGATTGATTTATATCCTGTATGTCTAGGGTTGCTATTAGTATCCCAGAAGGAAAGTGATGGCCCACTCAAATAGAATTCGGGGATGTACACAAAAGTGCAAGTTGTTAAGAAACCATAAAAATTAGAGTAGACCCTAGGAGCCACTAACAGTTGCTTTTCTCCATCTCTAGGTCTTCGAGTAGAATGGGAAGAAAAAACAGCTACTGGGACCTAGAGGCAAAGGAGACTGTATAAGGAGAGAGTACCGAAAGGAAGTAAGGGCTTTGATTGACAGATTCAGCCCACAGGAAAATGTTGACTTCCAGAAGATTCTTGCCATTGGTGAAACCCAGCAGCAAACACATGGCCAAGAAAGACCATTGATACAGTTCACAGGGGTCAGTTTTCAAAGGCATGGGGCAGACAAAGAAGGCTGCAGAGTGGATCTGGAGGACAAATGGAGGGTCACTCTAGCTTTTCTTGGAGCATAATGACATATCAAATAAGAGAAAGGCATGCCAACACTCTCATTTCTTGTCACAGTTATTTTGTTGAATCATTCAATCAGCATATCACACCTTCATCTTCCTCTCTATTACAAACACTGACTACATTGCATCTCCACCACTTGCCTCTCTAAGATCACCTCCAACATACCAATGTAATACAGGAATGTTTTCAGACCATGGAACCAAATGATTCTCTGTGAGCTGTTGCTCACACCCCTGAATCCAGCACTTCTTCCTTGTTCAAAACATCAGTCTGAAAACTGGTCAGATGAATATGTTAATTATCTTGATTGAATGTTTCTGCACTGTATACAAAGATCAACATCACATTGTACCTCATGATACACACAAATATCATTGTTAGTCACAAATAAACAGGTAGGTAGACTGGGGGGAGGAAATGGAGAGAGCACATGAATATGTCTGTCTCAGAAGACTGGTTATCCTGCAGAAGGCCACTGTTAGGCATCACTGGAGGAAGAAGTTGGTTAAATAAAGAATTTTTTAAGAAATTTTTTGAGTGTGTGTTGGGTAGGATCATGTAAAGACAGATTGATATGATTATAATGTTTTTTCATTAGCTTATTAACATGATGGATTACAACAATTGATTTTATAATGTTAAATCAGCTTTGCTGATATGGAATAAATGTCACTTGGATATGGTAAATAGATACTGTGAATCTTTTAAAATTATATTCCAGAACACCTTTTTGACTCTCCACATTTTCTGCAATGAATGACAAATATCCTGTCTGAGGGTTGGTATCAATGGGAGGGAGGGAGATGTAAGGAAAGGCTGTAAGAAAGTAAATGTAGTGGAATTATTATGTTCTAATGTATGAAAATGGGAAAATGAGGCTTGTTGAAACTATTCCAGAAATGGGGGGAAGGGGAATAAAGGAGAATGATGGAGGGGGTTAATTCAAGTATGATATATTGTAAGAACTTCTTAAATATCATAATGTACCCCGAGTACAATAATAACATGGTAATTTTAAAAATCATTTAATCTGCAAGCAGATTAAAAAAAGAAAAATTCTTATTAGCAATGGGATCCAGTTAAATAAGTGTAAATTACAACAATGAAATACCATTCATATTCTACTTAAATATAAAAATTCAAAAATAGTAAACATTGAAGAGAGTGTGGGGAGCTGGGTTGTCTTATACACTACCGTTGAAGAAGGGTACAATTTAACAATTTGGCCAAACCTTTCACAACTTCAAATTTTCCAACACTTCAATCCAATATTTGTGGTTGGCAGGGTTTCCCTGAGAGAAATTTTTCACAAGGATGAAAAGAAATTTTTACAGGAGTCTACATTGCAGCACTGTTTGGAACAGCAGAAAATTGAATTTCTGTGCAACCAAAGGCATCCCAAATACTCACTAGGAAGCGAGAAATTAAATGTATCACCATACATTCATGGCTTTCAATAGAAATAGTGAAGTGTGCACATACATGTATGTGTCTCGCTATGGTTTGAACATGACTTGCTCACTGAAACTCATGTAGGAGTTTAATCCCAAAGTCGTATGATAATGATAGTAAGATAGTGGAAAGGTAATTCAACTGTGGTGTTTAGAAGCTAGACCTCTGGGAAGGGATTAGGATTCAATAAGGTCATTAGAGAGAGTGGAGTCCCCATGACCATATCCAGGTATTTCAATAGTAATGAAAACCTAACACAGTCTTTTAGATTTATTGTTCTCTCAAAAAGGCAATTTGTGGTAGCACATTGTGGCATCCATGGAAGAGCACCGTGGAGTGTGACTTCCTGAGAACTTGTTGCAAGGAGAGTAAACAGCCCACAGGCCCCAGCTGGCAGTGCCTACTCTAAAACACACCCTTCCTGGACTTCTCCTAACCTATGACTGAGCATGGTGAGAACAATTTCTCTCACCATGAACAAGTAATTTGTCATTGGTGATTCCCCAAGGGCATGTGGGTGGGACTTTCTCAAGCTGTGCTGAAGTTTGAGTTCTTGCCCAGCCCTTATTCCTTCTCTCTCTTTTTTTCACCGGGGAGAGACCAGCTGTACAGTCTGACTGTTCTCACCTCTCTCCCCTTTACTCTTCCCAAGTGTTTCCCCTGAAAACCTCTGGCATGTCTCTCTCTACCTTGGCGTCTGCTTCTCTGAGGATACAAGCTGACACTTACACAGAGGACACCATTCACAAAGGCCTTGCCACAAAGCAACACTACATATTTCTACATGTGTACATGTGTGTGTGTGAACACCCTTGTGGAAAGATACACAGCAGGTTAAAAACTGTGATTACATCTGGGTAGGAAATTCACATTGGACAGTGGTGTGGTAATTTGAATAAAGCTGAATTATTTATTCATATCTCTGGTTGTATAACAATAAATTACTTCTGGAAGGTTAGATAACTAAGCAACAAAAATGAGCGAGTGCTACCATGGGAAGGAGAACTGAGTCACTAGGGCAGATGTGAGAATTTTATGTTTACTGTTTATCTTTTTATTGCAGTGTGCATGAATCACATTTTAGATTTTTTTTGGCAGTGCTGGGATTTGAACTCAAGGCTTTGGGCATTCAGGGCAGGCACTCTACCACTTAAACCACATCTCCAACTCTTTTTACTCTGGTTATTTTGGAGATAGGCTATCACTTTTTGCCCTGGCTAGCCTGGATCACGATCCTCCTATTTTACACTTCTTGCTGAAGCTGGGATGACCTGCATGCTACCACATCCAGCACAGTTTTCCATTAAGATGGAGTCTCACAACCTTTTTGCCTGGATTGGCCTGGAACTGATTCTCCTGATCTTAGCCTCCTATGTAATCTGGGATGACCGGTGTGCACGTGCCCAGCTATTTGTTGAGATGGGGTCTCTGAACTTTTTGCTTGGGCTGCCCTTAACCTCCATCCTCCCTATCTCAGTCTTCCAGGTAGCTAGGATTATAGGAGGGAGCTAATGGCACCCTGCCATATTTTAGTTTATTTTAAAAAGTGGAAGTGATAAGTGGCTTTGTCCTCATCACTATGGTTTGCATGCATCCATGACCATCATTTCAGCACCCTCTTCCTAAGAGTGTGCCCTAGTGGAATACCCAATGTCTCCAATTCTTATACCTCTGAGAGCAGGCAGGACGTGTGGTCTCATGCAATCTACATGTGAGATGCTGACTGCCTTCTAGTCAGTCAGGTAGCCTGGGAAAAGGGCACCATCAGCGGGTGGTTAACTATTATAACAGAATCATTGATTGTAAAAGATGAGGCTAACAAGGCAGACAGATTTCAGTAAGTCCTCTTATCAGAAAGACTTGCATATATTTGAATGTGATAGGAGCCACCACAGGTTTCTGTGCAGGAAGATTTATCTGAAGATCTTAGAGAAAAACAAACACAAGCCAGGGAGAAGATACAGGATGATGGTACGACTACCATCCAGAGAAGATGCATGCCTGAGGAAAAAAAGGTGGAGTAGATGATACAAGTGTGAATAAAAGGAGGGGAAGAATTCAAGGGCTATTTAGTTGGCAAAACCTGTAGGCATTAGGATGGGTTGGATGTGGAGAGTGGCATAAGAGAGGGAAAGGAGTCAAAATAAATACAGCTAGGTTTCTCATTGGAGTGTAGGAGAGGTGGTGGGCTGGAATCAGAAGATTTGGAAAGCCATAGATCAGGCAATACAGTGATAGTTGCAAAAAGCTTCTGGTATTGTCCTTCTGCCACTGTCTTAAAAGGGATTCTGCAGGGATTTTCTTTCCCTTGTTCCTCCAGCCCTCCACTTGCATTACTGGCCTAAGTGGCCACTCACCAGCTGGCCGTGTCCATCATTACAGCCAAGTCTGAGAATTCCTGATTATACTTAGAGCCTGTGGAGCTGCTGATACAGTCATTAGCGGAGGACGCTATTGTAACAACCTATGCTTTAAAATGTAAACCGTGGGGCGTTTTCCTTGCGTAGTCCAGAAGCAGCTTTCTCGTGTGTGAGCCTGGATTAATCATGAGAGAGTTTGTCAACATTCCACTGGTTCAGATTCTCACCCTGGTGGCCTTCAGCAGGACTGAGAAACTTCCAAAAGGTTGGTCAGAGCGATCCTGTCTCCTTGTTGCAGTCCTAAAGTGTGCATGTGTGTGTTTCATGACAACTATGATTCATAGTATAGGTGGGCTTTGGTTTTAGTTGGTGACATAGGGTGCAATGTATACTGAAAGGGTAAACTATATACATATGCAGTGGGAGGATGCCAAAATCCCCCTCTTAAATTCTGTGACAAAAAGTTTAGCCATACAGTGCATGCAGGGTCCTCCCTTCTAGGGGAAATGTTAGCAGGTAGACTGCAAGTCATCAAGGTCTGTTCTGCTTTTGTGGATGTCAGACTTCAGGGTTGTCTAAACGTACAATGAAAACCTTTTCCCCCCAGGTTTTCCAGGAATAAGCCCATCCGCTTCCAGGTAGTCAGAGTGTTCTGCTACTGAACAGAAGTCATTTCCACTTTCATTTTTACTTTTACCACATTTCTCATGAATGTTAGCTTTTAAAATTCAGAAATAGAGGAAGACGCACACAAGGTGCCTATGCCATGAGAGCCTGAAGACAGCAGGTTCTCAGTATCTTTGAGGCTGGAGTCCGGATCTGGCTTGGCAACAGACTGCAGAAGTTTTTTTCATAGGCTTTGGAATGTACCGGAAATAACACCACCTCAGGGGAAAGGAAAGCAACTTAAGAAACTGACAAACACCTGTCACAGTAGCGAGAATGTCCACAGCGATATGGTTGCTGGCTAGTGCATTACAAACCTGACACCATCGTATTTCAAATCAGGAAGAGTGGCAAATACGTGATTTGTAAAGTGACTGAGGACTTCACTGAAATCTTTTTTTTAATTTAAAAAAAATGGAATTTTTTACTTTTAAGAAAACAGATTGAAGGGTATCAATTAAAGAGTTTTCACATGAAATGTACTAAGTGCAATAAGAACAGTTCTGTGTTTCAGGACATGTTCAAATGAATTATTTTTCTTTTATGTTAGTTTATCAAAGTACCAAAACATTTTGTTCTGTGTAATGAGTGCAGTAGCATCTGTATGCAGGGAGGAAACAGATCTTTAGATTTGGTGGGTCAAAGAAAGTTTTGAGCCACAAGATCAAAGGTTCGTATGCAAATAAGGTACAGCTTGCTTCCCAAATAACCAGATTATAGAGGTTTATTTTTATTTTTTTGCTTCTCTTTTCCATTTTACTTGAGTCAAATGATACCTTTCCATGTAGTAAAACATTTCATTCTCAGCAAATACTTTAAGGAACTTCAGATAAAAGAGAATCTAGACTTTTTCAAATAGCTAATAATAGCTGGAAATACTTAACATTGGCTTCAGATTATTTTAATACTTCCTGATCCTACAGCGGATGTCCGATGAAGCAGCACCTGGATGTTTGGACTGTCCTGAGTCTCAGCTAGTTACTCTACACTAGGCAGTTACATAAAAGTGACATGGATAAGTACTGAAATTTACTGAAGTCTAGTCTGATATGGAACAGAATAATAATCAGAATTTGGTGCACAAATATGTTTATAAGAACATCTCCTAATTCAGAGTCTAAAAAATGATTTTCGCTTTCCAAACATTACAGATTAAGCCTTAATTCTAGTGCACAATGCTATCTCTATTTTAAAAATATCCAAATACCATGGCATTGAGTTAATACTGTCAAACATCCTGACTTTTAAATAAAAGAGATTGCTTGTTCAACTTTGTCTCTTATAATTCATTTGGTGCTCTAATTGCATTTTAAAAATTTAAACATGAAACAATATTTTTCCTAGTTTACTCTGTTTATTGTCAAAATCAAAATCAATGTGGGTTTAACATCAACCTTAGTCCAAAGCACCTTGCCTAAGAAAGAAAAAACATCCACTTAAGACACAGAGCAGTTCTGAAAATAAATAACATTGCAAAAACATGGTATTTAACATTTTGAATGCTGAGGTATGGACTATTATCAGTAGAAAAGAACCAAATGAATGTGTTGTTACCGTAATAATCCTGACAGCTCCAAACTCCCCCACTGTTGTTTTCTGTATTCTTGGCAAAAGGTAACAACAAGAGGAGTTCTTTAGATGGCAAACTTTCCCAAGTCCTTATCATGATTAAAATCAAGGGTACTACATGATAATAGATTGCAAAATAAATGGACGTATTTTTTAAAGGACACATAGGGCTTGGAATAGTGTTCAGAGTATTCTTTTCTAACTGTATACCATTTCCTCAATAAAATTAATGTCCAACTTTGTAGAATTAATAGTTTATTGTCTTTGTTTTAATTTAATTGAGATTCCAAATGTTTAAAAACAAGAGAAACTGTCATTGCCTTTTTGGATCATTTCCACTAATGAGATTTTCAGGGATGAGCTCAAATTCATAACCCCAAGTAGGAGAATTTTAACAGACTATCATGGAAGAAAGTAGCCAGTGTTTTGTTGAATACGTGCCTCAACCACATACTTTTATAGCACTTACTATTTTATTAAACATATGGTAGGATATTAAATTCCACAAGGATAGAAATTCATGTAAGCAGCACTGAGTTTTTGGTTGGTTGGTTTTTTTAACTATGCACAAAGATCTGTCAAAATCCCACTCCCCAAATGACCCTATTTACTATGATACCTAGGAAATTTTGAGTCTAAGTGATTTATCTCTAGATATATTTAAGTTACCCCCTCTTTTAAATCATATGTGCACAAGGATAGGACTTGCAGATTGGACTTCTAAGTCAGTAGAGACACAGCTGTCACTGAAATAAAGGACAGCAAGTTTGGATGTTTTATAATGACGTGTGTTGGAGGCATTACTCATTGTGTGTTTAGAGAAACAGAGTTGCTTTAACTATTACTGACTTTAAAGAACAGAAAAAGCAGAAATGTTAAGATTTCTTTAATCTCTATCTTATTTCCCAAGGTGAAATAGGTAACTCATCAGTGAAATAGGACTTGAGGTCATTGGGGGAGAATGACAGTGAGGGGAGGGTGGGGACCTGAGGGAACTGGTCCATCCATCAGGGAAGATAACAGAAGGATCCTTGGGCACAGGAGAGGACCCAGCTGGGGTAGTGGGGACAACTGGTTTATAGAGGCCCTGATTTAAACAGTTGTTTCTCTTTATCCAGCAATGCTAGGTGAACATAACAGTAATGAATTAATTCAGGATAAGTGCTTTCTAGGGTCAGCTAAAGAAATAGAGGGTAAATGAGCTTGGATTACATGGCAAAATACCATAAGGTGCAGGTTGGATAATGAAGGAAGTGAAACAAGGGCAGTTGAGATCAAGTTTCCATTTTCTAGTCTCCAGTATCTTTCTGTGTGTCTTTAGAGAAAACACATGTCTCTATAAGCCTTGGTTTATTTATAAAAGGAAGAAGAACCTACTGTAATCCAGTGGATTATACATAAGAATTTTCACGAGACCATGGCTTAACCCAAAGGAACACCCCAAGAGAGGAAATTTCAAAAATTTTAACAAGTTGGATAAAACTGCCTATGCCCAATGCCATCTCTAAAGGGAAGGACCAAGGGTATAAGACATTAATAATATGACATTAAGAGTTATTGAGTATTATTATCAAAGAATGCTAAAAGTCATAAAGATATAATAAAAATAACTTTTACTTCATTACATCTCCAGTTAAATAAATGTGCCAGTTCCTAAGAGATATTAGATGATGATAAATATTTAAAATTCCCCATACCAAAGCATTTACTCATACTGAAAAAAATACTACATTCATGATATTAGAGCAACATGAATATTTTCCAAGGTATTGGCTCTAATATTCTAAAACAGAAAGGAGAAATAACACCCGGCTTCTTTGTGCACCCAATCATTTGGTCATGTCAATCAGAAGCTACTCCATCAGAAGTTGGCGAATCAATGTCCATGTGCTAGAGCCTGTAAAAGAGGAAGGCGGGTGGTATCATGTCCTACTCATCAAGCAGTTGGGATCCAAGTTAAGTTCTCTTTGGGTGCAGAAAAGTGTTGTGTTTATTTTCACGTATTTAATGGAGTCCTTAGTGAGAGGAAAAATAGTGCCATCGTTTAAACAGGCCCTGGCTGAGATGAAAGCTGGAAAGTAGGGTGAACGTTAATAAACAATTTGATACCTGAACAAATAGCATTAAATACAGCTATGTGGCTATGTCAGTAAAATTTTGAAAGCAAATTTGGATAATTGTGGAATGTGGTCAACGTGGGTTTAACCAGTAACATTCTGCCTATGAATACTGTTATTGGTATACGCCTCCTTTTTTCTCTGTGTGTAGCCATTCCTGTAAGGCTCAGTATATCTTACAATTATAAGATAGGAATTTTAAATCAATCTTAACCCTGAAATTCAGCTCTATTGCTTCCTGCTTTGATAATGTTAAGCAAGTTATTTATCTATTTTTATTTTTTTTAGCGGTACTGGGGCAATCTATCACGTGAGCCACTTCACTTCCCTGTTCTTTACCTATTCTTAACCCCCCTGCCTCATCTACAAATGGGAATGCTAATTGCATCTACCTTTATGCTTGAATGAATAATGAATGAAAAATAAAATGATGGGCACAAAGCAAGTTCTTCATCCATGTTAGAGGCTGATATTATTAAAAACAGTTAAATTCCACCCAAGACTCATGTCACATTATAAGAAGGTATTAACATAATAAGAGACACTTCACATATCTGTCCATGTCTAATATTTCCAAGACTTTCTAAAATTTATTTCTTCAATCTTAACTGATCTCAGTAGTTTGTGTCATCTCATTGGAAAGATGGTAATAATATTATTACCATAATTATTATATTATTATATATTTATTATAATATATTATTATATATTATTATATTATTACCAATAGTAATAATATAATTACTATTACCTCTGCCACTTCTGTATCTGTGTACTGAGTGGAAGAAACTAGTGAATAAAGTTTATTTTTATAAAACTAATACATGGCATTAAGATTTATTTTTAAAACACAATGTATATAAACTTAAAACAGAAAAAGTCACTTGATATATTTTCTCCCATTTTTTCTATG